CTGAATATTCTGAGATGGCCACACAAGGCCCAGGACATGTGAAAATTTCCTGGCCCCTATGTCAGGAATTTTGTGCAGGTAGAACAGAGCAGGACGGTCAGGGAGTCTTCATGAGCACCTGCACTTGATCTCTCACAGTTCTCTGCAGGGTGGTTCTGCAGAAGCAGAGGCCCTGTGCAGACACTGCTGCTGTCTCAAGGCAACAGAGAAAGCCAGAGGAGTCTCCCGCCTGGCCTTCAACCTGGTAGCTGCAGGTTAAAAACACGAGGAGTGGACTGTTTTGTAGGAAGTTGGCCACAAGCTCCAATGACTTTGGGGTCCATTGTCAGAAAAAAAACAACACTTCAGTGAAGGATGTTTGGTGTAGGTATTCCACACACGTAAGAGCCCTGGTCCAGCTCCTCACTTCAGATCGCCACCTTCCACTCCCAGGCTGGTGGTGGATAAATGCCATTGTAATGTCACTTTTTAAAAACGAAACAGATATTCTGGGTGTTTTTTTTTTTTTTTTTAATATTATTCCGAGGACTCAATTGAATAGTCAATAAAAATTAGAAGTCAGTAAGGCGGCACCTCAAGGGCCCCATAGTACAGCCATCAGAGAAACGCATAGCTGTTAAATTTAAATGAAGGCTTCTCCATAAAAAGTCAACTTCCTCGACACTGGTCAGCTTTGTCTGGCGGGGTAGTTCCGGCTGCATAAGCACTTTCACCCGCAGGACAGGACGGCGCGGCTGCTCCTGCTCCCTGCCCCTGCGCCCCCCCACCCCCCGCCTGGGCCCTGGGCACTCGGCCTGAAGGGAAAGGGTGGCATCTCGATTTCCAAAGGGAGTGACGTTTCGGGCAGCTCTCGCCCGCGCCCCCTCCGGCTAGGCAGACCCACCCGCGGGGCCGGCACGGCCAGGCCCGGCAGCCCAAGCACCCGGGAGCGGCCTCGGCCCGGGCTTTGCCTTTATTTGGTGCCGCGCTCGGGGCCGTCCGGGCGCTCGGCGCGGGGCGCGCGCACATTCCTCCCCGGGGCGGCCACTGGGCCGCGGCCCGCTAATTATAGCGCCGCAGCTGGCGCGGGCCGCGGAGCGGGCGCCGTCCCCGCTCCGGTTTCCGGGCCGCCGCGCCCTGCCGGGGTCGCGCAGCCCCACGTGCGTGTCGCGGGGCGGCTTCGGGCCGCGGGAAAGTTCTGGAACGGAGAAGGCGGCGCAGCACTGGCGGTTCTGGACGGTCCCCTGGGGCTCCTCCAGGCCTCACGCAGCCGCGGAGGCCAGGACGCCTCCCCCTTCCTTCCCCTCCGGTAAACACCGCCTGCCCGAGCTGGGGGCTGCCTGCCTTTTAAAAACCGCTTTTCTGAACGTTACAAAGTTAAAAAAAAATAAAAACAAAACCGAGAGAAAAAGCTACATTCTGACGATTCTGACCCGGACTGTATGCTGGCGCTGGTCCCTTATTTGTGTGCAGTGATACACAAATTTGTGTGCCCAGCAGCCCCTTCGAAGCTGGCTGCACACAGGGCATCATGCTTCTGCTGTGGGGAGCACTTTGGACTCCAGGCTGTGCCTCGATCGCAGGAGTCCTGTGGCTCCAGATGGAAGTTCTAGGAAGACTCCTTTTTCCTGCGACGATTTTACCCCTGGAAGGAAACTAGCCAGGAGCTAACTGTTGATAAGCGCGCGAGCCCCCTGGCCTTTCCTACCTGTGGCTTTGACTGCAATCTCCCTAGGAGCCGGGCTGGACTCAGTTGTTTAAAGCCTGGAGGGAGGGGCCCCTTAAAGATGTAAAATTACAGCAGCAACCCATGTGGTGCTTATTAACTTCTCTAATGACTGTGACCCCTGTGAAATTCTGATTTCAGTCATATACGGGATACAATAAATCTTTATATCTTTTATCACCCAGAAGACTAATTGAATTGCTATTTGCAGCAGAAATAACAAAATGGGGGTAATAGGTTTCAGCCTGGGTGAAGGCGCCCACCAGCCTTTTCCTGTTTTGCTGCTCACAGGTAGACTCCAGGCTGGGAGCTCAAGGCAAGCCCAGGCACAAGTGCCGAGTGATTCCCACTCAGACAGCCCCTACTCAGACACATCTGTTTTCTGCAGAACTCTTACTAGTACAGTAGTAAAGAATCTCAGGATAAATGAAGTTAAAGCTCAGGACATTGAGGTTCACTTTCAATAAACTCCATACCTTAAACTGAGACCCTGAGCTCTGTTGATGGGATGTTTCTAGGTTTTAGTTTTTCCCCTAAGACCTAGCTGTGTGGAGTTCAAAATATTCTATTTGAACTGTCACAAGATGTTCTCCAAATGGCAGAGAAGAGTGCAATGACCTCGATATTTACGTGTGAAGTTATGACACGCATGCGTACACAACCAAACCTGACTCACTTGTGGCAGGATGCCTGTCCCCTAATGGGCATCTGCAGGTTAACTGATAGTGAAGCTGCAAACAGCTAGCAAACGTGGTTAAGTGGCAGACCTACAGATGATGTAACAGTTCCTTTCCCCCCAAATGTAAACTATATTTAGAAATATTCAAATGTGACATTACCCTACACAAGGATGTCTTATCTCAGCATCAAGGGCTCCTGCTGAGCTGCTGAAGGAGACTTTTTAGATGATGCCATCTGACTTGTAAAGCCCATTCAGGCAGAACCAGCGTGTTGGTACTCTCAATTTCACCAGGAACCTGTGGCCCAGTCTCCAGGTCTTGTCTGACCTAGGAGAAAACATCTCCTAGGATTTTTTTTTTTTTTTTGCTATCTTGAGATAAATTTCACTAGTACTGAAAACTCAATGTTCTAGAGTTGTAAAGACCATCTACTTTTTAAAAAGAAATATTTAAATTATATCATGGAAGAAACTGCTTATATACATGGTCCAATATGGTTGTTTTAATAAGAAAATTTTATCAATTGTTTTTCAGATTCAAAATAAAAGAACTGCTTTTAAGATACAACATCTAAATGATTCTAAACAATTGTGATTATTTTTGCCCTAAAATACCTTTTCTGTGGATTGTATGGATCCTTTTATGTTGTCCGGTGCCAGGCAGAAACATAATACTCTGTGATAAAAACCAGTGAAAACACAGATTTCATATTCTATAATCCTTTAAAAAATAAAGGAAATCTGTTGTAAATACAGCCTTTTAGGTTATGTTGACAGAGGAGGGGGCAGGTTACACACTAATGGCTTAAAGCAGAATCCACTGTCACAGTTTTTTGTTTTTTAGTGGAGGAGATTCAACCCAAAGCCTCGTGTACTCCAAGCACAAGCTCTCCCTGAGATACACCCTGGCTCCGTAAGTTAATTTCTTAATGATAAAAAGGAGTAGTTTGTATATCCCTAGTCATGAATTTATCTGAGGATTAATAGGGAAATCCACAGATAATCCATAAATCCAGGCATTTTTCCATCTTCCAGTTCTTAAATACTTCACAAATTGTTTATTTTTGTGCCTTTCAAATTACAGCGAGGGTGATCCAGGCTGTCAGAGGGCCGCAGCACAGGACCTAGACAGCTGCATCTGGACACAGCCTGCTTTCCCTCAGTTTTAAGCCTGTTGCTGTTGTCAGAGGCCGACCAGTGGCACTCAAGGAGTTAACCCCTCCCCCCAGGCCCAGAACCCAGGGATGAGGTGGCTAAATATGTATTCCATTCACTGGGGCCTCTGACCTCCAGCCTGAGGAAAGGCGTGTCTTCTCACACTGTTCCCCAGGAACAAAGGCAGCAAATGAGGGTGACTCAGGACTTCTGGTGGCCTCCACACAACTGAGAGTTTTTTCTGAATGATTCCACGTACACACTTAGGAATCAGGAAGACAAACATTTTACTCTTTGCTAACCAAATAAAACATCTCTAAATCATATGCAAAACAACTTTGAGTAAAGGACTACTTAAAAGTCTAGAAACTAAAAGGGGCTTTATGCTTTCAACTTTTCCTCCCTTTGGGGAATAAACAAAGACATCTGCCACATCAAGAGTCTGGTTTTTTCTTTTTTAACTGAATGTGATCATTAAAGTATACCTTTGGGAGGAGCTTTTGAAATTTTAAACATCATTCTGCAAGCTGTGCTATTTTGAATTTGACTCAAAAGAAAATTTAGCATTTTTAAGTTAGAAAACAAAAACTGATAGCCTATTTCTTGTAATTACATGAAAAATTGTCATAATCTATAACTTATTGAAAATACAGTTTCTCTAAAACTGCATTAAATGGGCTGCTAATAATGAAAAATATTATTAAAATATAACGATGGACCCCCCATGTCACTGGACCACCCCTAAAAATGTACCCAACTACACATCATTGTTGCTATTTAATTTAAAACATATATTAAGTCTGTGTACTTCCTAGCTTTAGACTCTTCATAAGTTTCCCGACTTCCTTTCATAGAGAAGTCTGCCAAGCCATTGATCAATAGTCAACGCTGCAACATCCAGGAAACTTACTATGTGACAGTAGACAGAGGTTTTAAAATGTGTCTATGCTTTCTGTCTCTTATCTCTATTTGTAAGTTCAGATTTCAGGATATCAATAAAGCTCACACTTAGTCAGTTCCAAAGCTTTTCAAGTGCACGTTTGCTTTTTCTTCCCGTCTTTTTTTCTTTTGTCTTCAATGTATGTCCTCTGCCCCACCAAGACTGTTTAATTCCAAAGCTTTCCAAAGAGCAGCCCCACGTCTGGACAGTCTTTCAATGTGGTAACCATCTCCTTCCACACTCCACTGTTGGAGAAGGCTGGCCAGGATGCCATTGAAAATAAACAAGTACATTCAGCTGCACCTTGTACAGCTTTTCACCTGTCCCCTCCCCAGTGGCCCTTTCCCAGTCCCTAGGACTTCTTTTTTTCTCCCACCAGTGCCTTTCATCTCCTGTTCTCCTGCAGTTCATTAAACCCCACACTCAGACCCACGCATGCTCCAGTCACATGCCATTAGTGATTGACATGAGAGTCATCCTATGCTCATTTAAAAAAAATCAAAAAAAGGCCTCAGAAAATGTTCAGTGCTCCCGATTTTATTTTTTTTTTTATTTAATGCTAAAAGTTAAAAGAAAAAAAAAAGATACTGTAAATCTGACAAATGACAGAATGCAGGTGATATTTCCATAGCGTGATTTTAAAATATAATGATATCTGAGATTACACTTACTTCAGTTGACATGAATTGCATCATATATAGAAAAAGTATCACCTTCAACTTAAAAAAAAGTAAAGGTTAAAAGGTGGCACACTTTTAAAATACTTGGTGGCCAAGGAAAGGTATATAGTAATAAAGTTGTAAACCATGTGTATGTTCTCATAACTTCAAATGTGAGGCCACATGAAAGACAGTACATCTGTTAAATTCTATAAACTGTTAACGAAAAAAGAAGGGGGAAGCTTCAACACCCTATCCCCTAGTATTCTGAGTATTAAAAGCATAGCTGAAATATTAGGATTTGAAATCTGATACTGCCCACGTACAGTAAGTAGCTTTCTGACATTTCTCTCCAGCTGTGGAGAATCTCTACACTGTCATCAGGTACAACAAAAGATCAAACCCATGTCCCAGTGTTCACTTTTAACTTGGGGACACCAGGAAAAAAACCCAGATCAGCACTCCAGCTGCAAGCCTCCTCAAAGGCCTCCGAGGAGAGGAGCCAGGCTCCAGCAGAGCCTGTGTTATAATAGTGGGAAGCTCTGCAGCCCTTTTAAGCGGGTTAGTCTCCCCCCCCTCCACCACCAGCCCAGGCTGCCTCTTCCACAGCTGGAGAGACTTCTCCACTACAGCAGGATGGTTCTTCATCAGTCTTGTTGGAGAGCTTATCTGCATTAAGGTTGCAAAACACACAGATAGCCACCACAAATTAGGTCAAATGACTGATCAGGTTGTAACATCTATGAGGTCAAATTCCAGTTTATAATAAAGTGCCTAGAAACATATTTATACAACAGACCATAGTAGCTGAATTCTTCACAAATGTCTTTACGGGCATGTAAAACTGACTTTTTTGCATGTGTACATTCACATAAATAGAGACCAGTCTGATCTGAGTCATGGATACACCAAAAAAAAAAAAAGGTGTAAGGACTAACCATGCAAGCCTTACTGTAGCACAACAATGACTGTGACGTGGATTCAAACAGCACTAGCAATGGGTGCACTCATCAAAATCACCATGAAAAAATACTGTATTTGGTGCAGTATCTGATTTTCAAGTGTTAGTAACTTGACCACTAAAAAATATTTTGAGCAATTTCAAAAAAAGACAAACACAACTAAAAAAAAAATCCAAAGTTGGTAATAATCTATATTTTCAAATTAGAACAGAAGCTAGGTTGTGAATAATACAAATTGCAGTAGACCTAGAAGCCATGATTCGGCCCAGTTATAAGGCCAAGTTACAAACACCTGAACATAAGGATTTAAAATAGTGTTCCTGTCAATATTAAATCAAAACAGCACAAAAGAAAAACCAGTATGCTGTGAGACAACTATTTCTAATAACTGATGATTTATTGGTTTAAAAAAATCATTTTACTGATGCAAAATAGTGATCAAAAAAGATTAACTTACAAAAGACTTCTAAAAATTGTTTGAGAGGTGGGGCCTGCCTGTTATGTAAAACCCTCAATTTCTTTAATTTTCATTAGTTTATCTTTTTTTTTTTTTTTTCCAGAACAGTATTATTCACTTGGTATTTCAGACACATGTAAGAAGGAAATTACAGGTTTCCTCCACCCACAGTTGGGCCGTCACTGATATGCCCACAGGCGGTCCTGGCAGACCCGGGCTTCACTGTCATTGTACCATACTGTATTCAGCACTCACTAAAAACGTGTGACAGTATCGACAGCAACAGCACTACAGGTAAATGATAAAAAAAAAACAAAACACAACCAATCCCACAATCTCTAAGTTCTCCTGGACTGCAACTTCTCTGGCAACTCTTGCAGAGGAAACGACCACAGCAATGACACACAGCTCTCGGGTGTTGAACAGATGAAGTGGCGCTGCAGAGCCAGCCAGGCTGCTCAAAGACGGCAGTGCCATCTTGCACACGCCACCACCCACCACGCTGCTCCATCACTGGAGCTGCGTCTTATGTAACCAACTAGCATGCGGCACTGTACTCCTACAACTGATCACGTGGACAGTGAACAGCGGTCAACTTTGCCTCAAGAAAAACATCCCCCCCCAAAAGCCCCACAATGCTGAGAATCTCTCAGCAGCACCTCTCAGACAGGCAATGTCTTAAATTGAACTTTAAGAACAAAACAGAAATCCAAAACCTATCTTCCTGCCCCTCCGAGAGGACATGTTTTGGGGTAAACTTGGAGATACTTCCCAGTGGCATGCCCACTTGACAACAATGCCCCTTTCACTTATTTCCTTTTCTTCTCCACCAAGCGGCCTCCAGCCTGAGAAAGGGGCCAGCAATAAGGAATAACAGACAGTAAGGCAATCTTACAATGTCAGAAAATGTATTTGGCTTTTTTTTTTTTTTTCGTTTTAAAATAAGTGCATACAAATACAGCTAGAAGCATTTCTGATTTGCCAAGTGCTCTAAAAAAGCAGCCAAGTCACAGCCTACGAGGACCGGTAACTGTCACCAGGATAATAAAGCACAAAGATATGCTAATAACGTTAACAAAAGAAGAAAATGCCTTTATAAGTACATACCTTTTGTCGTCAAAAAAATATAGAAACACAATGTATTCAAAAAAAAATCAAAATTATACAGCCATGTGTATGAAGTCTACATTTCCCTTGTCTTGGATATATATATATGGAGATATATATACAATTCAAGCAGTTTTAGTTAAGGATAACCACTGGGTTTTTCTGAAACCGGAAAGTCATGAGTCTCTCTCCTTTTTCACTTTCACATCTCCAGCAAGGATGGTTGCAATTTCCCCCTGCATAAAGGCCCAGGGAACATTGGAGCCCACCAGAGGGCATTTCTCCCCACTGGGACAATAGACCTCTCCACTAGCTCCCTGCTGTTTGATGCTCTGTCTGGAACAAGGGAAGCAGAACTTGTGAGAAGGGACTGAAGGGCACTGCACAAAGTGGGTGTCCTCCAGCCGCTCGTGGCAGAGGGTGCAGCACAGGGGGGCGCTGGCTGCCAGAGAGGAGTCCGGGAGGCTGGCAGGGTGCACGGGCTCCAGTCCTCCTGTGCCGCCTGCCCCCTGGCCTCCCACCTCTCGGGGGCCGAGCCTTCTTTGGTTCATAGAGGACGGGGAGGGTGGACTGCTGCTATTCCTCCTGGTGGTGGAGTGGACCTGGTTGGCATCTTTCGAGGCATGACTGCCCCCTGCATTGTCTGCTACTAAGATTAGGGCTGCCATGGGGGACTGGCCATTCTGGGCCGCTTCAGGCGGTGTGGTCCGGTTGGAATGAGGTGAGGCAGTGGGTGGTGGTGGAGATACAAAAGAGGATGTAGGGGTCATGGGGATCTTGAGCCCTTCGGTGGAAGTGGACAGCCATGGCTGGGCCTCTCCATTGATCTTAGGGGGCCCAACTTCACCTTCTGGTTCTGGAGAAGGCTTTCTTTTCCTTGCTGTTCTTGCAACTGGAAAAACAAAGAAATGGAAGGAAAAAGGGTAAGTGAAGGAGCACTGAAAGGGACCTTTTTTTTTTTTTTTTTTTGCTAAAATGAAACAAAACTTGTTGCAGAATTTCTACTCTCCAAAAGCACACTTTAGTCACACAAGTTATGCATGCAGCTCCAAACACACTTAGGGGTCTCTGAGGCAGCACACCAATCTAAAAGGAAACTAAAGTCCAGGGAATGGCCCATTCACACACATGCATGCCTGTGCCCAGGACAGAGTTGTGCTTGTGACTACTAATGTCCCCGACAGGTTAAAAGGTGACTGGTGCCCTCATGCTCCCATCCAAGAATGTGCTGGGAAAGGAAAACCCCGAGTCTGTGCCTATCAATCAGCCCGGTCTGACTCATCCCTGTTATGCTGCTTCAGCACATGAACACGTTGCCACTAAGCACTGGTTCCGCCTCGGGCAGATCAGGAAGTCGGGTGTTTGTTGTTTCTGAGCTGGGGCAGAACGGTGCACCGAAAGAACCTCCCCCTCTAAGCTCAGCGCCCCTCGACCCCTTCGCTCCACAGCCGCCCCTACCTGCTTTAGACCCGTTGGCCCCGTTGGCCTCGAAACCCAACAACCTGCCTGCAGTCAGGGCCGGTTCCTTCTTGAACTTGCTCTCGAAGGGCCCAGAGTGGCTGTGCTGGTGCAGCGCCAGCAGCGTGTCGCGCACGGTCTTGGGCCTGTTGACCCAGTCCTGCTCTCCGGGTCCGCGGCCTTTGCCCGCGCCCTCGGCGCCCAGCTCGGCGGCGCCCGCCGTGCTCGACAGGCTGTCGGCCGGGCCACGGTGAGCGGGCGGCGGCGGCGGCTTCTCCTTGGCTGCCGCCTCGCGGGGCTCGTGCTCCGCGGCCGCGCTGCTAGACACGGACGCGGGCCGCTTGTGGGCGCCCAGCTCGGCAGGTTGCGCGGAGCCCAGGCCCGCGGCCGCGGCCCCGGACACAGCGGCCAGTGAGGCGGCGGCCCGGCCGCTGAGGCCCAGCGCGGCGGGCAGTGGCGCTGCGGAGCCGTTCATGAGCGGCACCAGGGTGGGCGGCACAGCATGGCCACGCCGCGGGTTCGGGCTCTGGCGGTTCAACTCAGGGGGCTCCTCCAGCTTGGAGAAACCGTTGGGCACCAGGATGCCGTTCACGGGCGGAGGCTGCGGCGTCGGCGGCTGGGCCAGGCTGGCGGCTGCGCGGCTGCCGAAATCGGAGCCCAGGCGCGGGGCGCGCTCGGCCGCAGCGGCCAGCGGGTAGCGCTCCAGGGCCTGCGGCGCGCGGGGGGCCGCCTCGGGGCCGGCGTGGCCGAGCTGCTGCTGCTGCTGCAGGAGGAGGTCCTTGGCCGAGAGCGGCGGCGGCTTGGCGGCTGAGGGCGCCGCGGCGCCGGGCGGGGAGCGGCCCTCCGGGAAGCAGCCGTGCGCCCGCTTGAGCTGCCGCGCCGTCTCGATGACGAACTCGACGCGGTCGGCGCCCTCGTAGTTTACGCAGCCGCGGCAGACGGGCTCGGTGAAGTCCCAGATCATGGCCCACGGCATGCGGGGCAGGTCACACAGGTAGCACGACTGTCGCCGGGACGCAGCCGCCACCGCCACCGCCGCGGCCATGTCCGCGGAGCCCGCGGCGCCGGAGGCGCAGGAGGAGGAGGGGGCGCTGCCGCCCCCAGCAGGCAGCCCGCGCGCCCGCCGCGCCCCCCAACCCCGCGTCTCTCCGACCAGCGGCGGCGGCGGCCGCAGAGGCGGCGGCGGCGGCAGAGCCCGCGAAGGCGCGGCGCCCGCGCG